TGTGTGTGTGTGTGTGTGTGTGTGTGTGTGTGTGTGTGTGTGTGTGTGTGTGTGTGTGTGTGTGTGTGTGTGTGTGTGTGTGTGTGTGTGTGTGAGTGTGTGTGTGTGAGTGTGTGTGTGTGTGTGTGTGTGTGTGTGTGTGTGTGTGTGTGTGTGTGTGTGTGTGTGTGTGTGTGTGTGTGTGTGTGTGTGTGTGTGTGTGTGTGTGTGTGTGTGTGTGTGTGTGTGTGTGTGTGTGTGTGTGCGTGTGTGTGGGCGCGTGTGTGTGTGTGTGTGTGCGCGTGTGGGCGCGTGTGGGCGCGCGTGTGTCTGTGTGTGTGTGTGTGTGGGCGTGTGGGCGTGTGGGCGTGTGGGCGTGTGGGCGTGTGGGCGTGTGGGCGTGTGGGCGTGTGGGCGTTTTACTGCTCAAGGCCTTTTGCCTGTGTTGTGGTAGGGAGCTTGCTGTGAACTGAGGCTTTAGTCGTGAACTCTGTGGGGTAACAGGCCTTTTTCTCAATCCCAGGCTGAGCCTCTCGAGCCATAGCATTTGAGCAACCTTTGTGGGAACTGCTGCGCAAAATCCACACCCTTGTGGTGAGGCTTGGGTGTCCCAGCTGAACCCTTGGGTCTTGTGGTGTGGTTGAGATCCTAGATCCAGCTTTCAAAGCCAGTGCACTGGTGTGTCAGCTTGCAGTCAGCTGTGCTGATTATGCCTCGATCGCGAAGCTACACTGTGTGCCAGTTTTGCAACGACTCTTGGATTTACAATCACAAGATCAAGCACCGTCCTTTGTGCAGATGTGGGCAGCCATGGCCTTTGCAACAGTCGCAGTACACCCAGGATTCGGACCTGGGGTCGTACCAATGGTCCCAGAAGCGTGCCGTTTTTGCCAAGCCGACCAAGCCTGCAAAAACCCAGCCATCCAAGGGCTTTAAGGGTGTGCAGGTCCTTGGTGAGCACTGGGGTTCTTTGCCTGAAGCAGTGCAGCAGGTGCTCAAGAAGAATGGGCTGGCCCCACCGGAGCCTGCTGAAGATGAAGACCCGCTGCTTAAGCTGCTCATGCAGCACAAAGAAGCCCTGCCTGCCGAGATCAAGCTCGAGCTTGACAAGAGGGACCCGGAGCCTTTCGAAGTTGCACTTGCCACCCAGGATGCTTTCAAAACTGCAGTTGGAAAGCTACGGGAGCTTGGCCATCGCAAGTTGCTCCTGCAGCAACGAATTGACAATGCAAAGACTGCCTTCACTGCCTTGCTTTCGCAGATGCAAAACTTGCAGGCGGAGATCAAAGACGCTGAGCAAAAGGTTGAGAAAGTTGGAGGCGACTACCATGAGAAAGTGCTTAAGACGGAGGATGGCACAGATCCTATGGATGTGGAAGCGGTTTTGGGACAGCTTGGAGTCCAGCTGACCCAGGAGCAGCAGGCCACCTGGAAGGCCATCCAGGCCGAGCATGCTTCCAAGCGGAGGAAGGCAGAAGCACTGGATTCCCCCCCGGGCCTTGGTGTAGGGGAGCTGTTAGGCGCTGACGCCGCGCCCAGGCCTTTCGGGCCTCCGCAAAGGCCAGCCCCTGTTGCACATGGGCACCACAGTCAGGAAAGAAGTCGTTCCCCAAAGGAGAAAGAGGGGAAGGAAGGCGAACTTGATAAGTAGGAAACAGGCCGAACCGAGGAGGCTGGGGGCACTGCAGGCCCGCCACCTCGGTGTGATGGCCTTACACCTGCGGAACCTTCCTTTTCTCCAGCGCCAGGGCCTTTG